CCCCTCCCTGTTGGTGAGAACAAGAATAAAACCAAAGATCAAATTAGAAGCTCCATGAAATGGCTGCTTCAAATAAAATCAATGTTAAATTGTATGCCATTGTGTAAACATAGTATTCTGTGTTCTTTCAGGCTCAAATTGGTGGTAATTAATAATCTGTCAAAAGCCACTCATGTGAGAATGTTAGCAGTTTCTCAAACCAGGAGTTTGTGGGTTGTTATGATAGTTGAATTAAGAAAATGTTTTCAGAATGTAAATTTTCCATCATTCTTCTAGGAATTAGCTTCCCTTGATCAAGAAAAGCAGCCTGATCTAGAGCCTGGGCAGCCTCAGCTTTCTCCTGGAATTTCGACAATTAATCTGCATCCACAGTTTCCAGGTAACTTGTTTTGACTTGTCCTTTAGTATGAGAAAGTGCTTACAGTTCTACAGTTCTTCAAAGAATGGGAAGATAGCAGTTGTAACAGAGGTTAATGAAAAATGCATGGCAGCGTCACAAGCAATTTTTCCATGAGCAGAGTGTGGGGCCAGGGCAGGGGGGAATCATGGACGCTGAAGTGGGAGGAACTGAGATGTTGGCATTGGCTGGATGACTTGTTAGGAGGCAAAGAGGTATTTTAGGTGAAAGTGACGTCCTGGGTTATGTACATGACAATTTCAATGCCAGCAGGGCTGAGGCCATGTACCCCTTTCAGGAGGAAATTTTTACTTAAGTGTCTCATTGTAGATTTAAGCATAACTTTCTCTGCAAAAGTTTTATTGTTGTGCTTGCTTTCTTTAGCACCTCAGTTTTTCTCAGAAGCAGTAGAATGACGGAAAATCCAATTACACTGTTTTTTCTACTCCAGATCTAAGCAGAATAAACTAATGAAATGCTCCATAGCATCTGTCTCATTCTGTATCATGTGTGAATGCTTTAAGGGTTTATTTTTGGATGTGATTGATTTCCATTCCATGTCACACAGTAGTGATTGAGAAAACATCTCCTCCTCTGCCTGTTGAAGTTGCTCCTGAAGTCTCTACTTCAAGTGCAAGTCAAGTAATTGCACCTACTCAGGTTACAGGTATTGTACTTCCTTTTCAGAACTAAAATAAATTAAGAAATGACTGTGAGTTCCTGACACTATAATTTGTTCCATGCTCCTTCTGAATTACAGTAGCGAAGAGAATGTAGCTATAGAACAGAAAGGTGTACTCTGGGGAGAGATAGAAAGTACAGAACAGCACAGCAGTGAGGGTACTGTCAGCAGAGCTAGGACTGGACCCTGCCAGTTTTGTGCCCACCAATAAGTGATAGAAGGAAAAATTAGTAATTCCATCTCAGATTACATGATCTGCAACTGAAGTCCAGCACTGAAGACTTTCTGGGCAGATGTCAGTTGTTCAGTCTGCCCATGTGTTCATGAAGTATAGGTGATCGTGTTCCTTGTGGGATATAGACTTCATGGATGTAGATCAGCATGTTCTACAAAAAGCAAAAGAGGAGTTTTCATGTAAGATCTGTTTTGAAATGTTCTTTTGGCATTTGTGCTTCTTCCTCTTTTGATATATTAAAGTTGCCTTTTCCACATCCATCTGTTAAGAAGTGAAAATAACAGAAATGCAAGTAATGCTGCTGTCATAGCTGAAACTTGTCTAAGTGATGGCTGTGTCTGAAAGGCATGAAAATTTCACTTGCTGTAAATTTGAAAACAAAAAGGTGAATGTACAGTGTGTGTATACGTGAGAGCATTACAGTGTCACATTGGCCAGTCTCTCCGAATTAACACAGGCTTTGAAGTAGCTGCAGTATCCAGGTAAATACTTTAAGATGCCGCATTGTGTGTGGTAGAGGTATTTAGGCCTACCAAGAGGTTTCCCAGTTTGCATTCAGGGGGAGAAATTACACATGCTTTGATGAAAGCTTAACTCTTCGAGGATGGCCTTCCTTCATGCGGGAATGGATTTTTGAGTTGCGTGCAACTTGCACGGGGTCTAAATCCCCCAGTTGTTTGAAGCGTGATTCTGTCTGCAGTTAAATCCTCCTGAATCTACTGTAAAGAGTACAGAAAGTATCCCGTCCTCTGTAAGCATTCAGCTGCCTCCTACAGGTACCTGTGATTGCAATTCATCAATCCCATGTGAAAGTTCTACTCATGGTGATTGTCAAACCAGAATTTGGATGTCAGCTCTGCTGTGACTGTGCCCCTTCTGCCAGCCAGCACCTTTTTTCCTTACAGGGAGAGGAAGTTACCCTGCTGGGAACTCCCATCAATTAGGAAAAAAAAAAAAAAGCTAGTTTTCCATCTTCTGCCCTTTTTTTTTCTTCCTCAGGAAAAGGAGTAGAACTAGAAATTGCTGTGTGCTATCAATAAATAAATCAATCTGTTATTCAGATACACTTCTAAGTGTTGCTCAGATATTTAAGCAATAGTAAAGTACAAGTGAAGTAAGATTTTGTAGGACAAAATTCTAACTTGATTTTAAAAAATGAATGTAGTTAGAGATAAGATGCTTTTGAGAACCTTAATTATGTACTTTAAGATTTATCTAAAGTCAAATATAACCTGTTTCTAAATAATCTGCGTAAATTATTCTTCTCTACAGATGATGTAAACTTCTTTTTCAGGAATTACGATTTCATGCTTCTTTATAATCTTAGTTTAAGATGCAGTTAAAGTCATTAATATTTTTTGCAGTATCACATATACTTTGAGAATTTCTAAAACTACTGTAAGGCTTCAGGATCCAGTGCTGCCCATATCTGAATCTCCTTATCTTACAAAATACATCCAAGCCATTAACAGATGAATATTTTGTAAAATATTGTGCACTTACTGAACTATGTGGGGAGTTTAACATTTAACTTCTTTCTGTTTGCTTAGAAATCAACGAATGTACAGTTAATCCTGATATCTGTGGAGCAGGACACTGTGTTAATTTGCCTGTGGGATACACTTGCATCTGCTACGAGGGATACAAACTTAACGACCAGCAGACAAAGTGCTCTGGTATGAATGGATGCTTTCAAAAGTCTGAAATAAACATGCTATGAAATGCTTGAAATGTAGAGTCTGGTCAGGGGAAATATGCTACAGAGCAGTCAGGAGTTGCTTCCTCTACTGAATGCTTCCAAACTACACAGAAACTCGTTTTCCTCTGTCAAATAAAATTTACCAGCTAGTCTCTGGTACAGCCTTTCAGCTGCTCAGAATTGAATGTGAATTTAATTGAATTGAATGAAAGCCTTTTCTGTTGTAAGATGAGAGAAGAAGTGATTAGACAGACCATGTCTTCTGAGCTTTATGTCAGGTATCTAAAATCATCAGACTGCTAGGAAGAAATACACTTCTGTTTGGAGAAAGAATGACCAAATTCGTGCCTGTTTCTCAGAATGATTTGCCCAGCTATGAGCTCTGCAGCTGGACTAACACAGTCATTTTGTTAGGTCTTTTCTTTCAACCTGCTGAAAAGAGCAAGTATGTCGTAAGCATCCCAGAGCACATTAGGAGATCTGCAGAGTGAGGCCTTCATCCCCTTCAATAAGTTCTGGAACACAGGGCTCTGATGCACACGAGGCAGAGCCCAGACTGGCTCTACATGAGCCATTTCAGATTTTGGAAGCAGCTGTATCAGTATCTTTCCTTCATTCACAGTATGCTGGTGCCTCTGTAACTTGGATCAGAAATAGTTTATTCCATCATGGTGCCAGATTATATACTGTCAACTCTTCATGCTACCAAAAGTTTAGCAACTCCACACTGATACACATGCTATCAGGTGTGACTACAGTATTAAAAAATAACTTACACACACAGCCAATGGCAACTTAAAATCCTGCTATTTCATCCAAAGTGTGATAATGTTCCACGCTTGCAGCTTGTGCTCAGCTTGCTCTCAGTGTAGTGATTTGAATAGTAGTCATGTCACATGCTTCAGCCCAATGCAATGTTCTTTCAGTTTAAGCCAATAAGAGCATTTTTTCCAGCCAAAACTATTTAATGCGTCTTCGTTGCAGCTCTGAGGGAGAGAAAAACACTTTTTCGAATAGTTACAAGATCAGTCGTTTCAAAAGCATGGTATAGAATGCACAAAAAGTATCACAACTAAATGTGTTATTCTATAGTCTTATGGTTTTATTTCTTTTATAGATATTAACGAGTGTAACCAGGCACCCCATCTCTGTTCCCTTGGACGCTGTGAAAATACAGAAGGAAGTTTCCTATGTATTTGCCAAGCTGGATTCATGGCCAGTGAAGACGGAACCGACTGTGTTGGTAATTACTGGTCTCCTTTCTAGAAAATAAAAACCTAATCACTAATCAAGAGTCTTATCTAAAACCCCCTAAAGTCCCCTTTTCAACTATTTTCCTCAGTGTCATTGGTACTGGACTATGTCTGGAAGTGTTTTTAACTGTCTCTCACCAGGTGTTGTGGTGAAGAAAATATTTGAGTGGCTCCTACTGCTTTTCAAAATTATAAGTATCATGCTTATTTAGGAAAATTACTATTCAGATAAAAACACCTTCTGTGGTGGAAAACACAAATATTCAGAACTCTTTCAATCCCCAGCAGCGGTAGCAAACCCTGTTTTCAGATACAGCTGTGGACTTTGTGGAGCAATACAAACAGCCTGAACTGGCTGTGATCTTCCTCAGGTTAGCACTGCCTTGGGCACAGTATACACACAGTGACACGCATGGCCTTTGCAGCCACAGGGCAGCTCACTGCCCTTCTCCTTGCAGCCTGGTTGTTTCTAGATCTCATTGCCTCTGTGATTACAAGCAGTGAGGTAAACATGGAACCGCTCAGTAAGAACAGCTGTAGGTCTGTGGCTTGCAAATAGCTTGAAAATCCAAACTTCCTTACGTAAGTGTAGTTAAAGCAGAGTTTAGGGGACATGGAACTCTTCAGTAATTTCATGGTGAAGCAAAGTTTCTCTACTCTTTTTTCATCTGCAGATTTTGATGAATGTTCAAGACCTCATACTTGCGGGGAAGGCTTTTGTATAAATACTCTTGGCTCATACAAATGTGAATATTGCGATAGTGGATACCAGATGAACAGGAGAGGTGAATGTGAAGGTGGGTTTGGACTCTTTGCCAGTAGTAATGCAGTAACAGTTGGCCAAACAACTGCAATAGGAAGAACCATTTGTTCTCATTAACTGCTGTTTCTGATCTCAACAGAAAACTTTACATCTATTTCTTTATTTTCGAAGAAATCTGTCCATTGTGGTTGAAAATATTAAAATAAGAGTTATTTTTTCGCTCTTAACTTGACGTTTTTCTACCTGATATATTTTGTTTAATTCCTTTCAATCTCCATTTACTATTTGATTTCAGATGAAATGTCTTGGCACAGTGCTTTTATATCTATTTGTGTTCAGAATTGCCTTTCCTCATCCCAGTCTGTGCTTATTTCGTTGGGTAATTTCCCTAGCTTAATTTTACTGCTGAATTTCTGTCACAGCTACTGTCTTCATTTAATCTGCCTTCAGATCATTTAACTTCCCCCTGTACAGCTGAAAATGGCAGAATGTTCAAGAGGACATTGCATGTTTTATCTACAGTATGTCCTGGATGATGGAGTGAAATTACCATTCATACCTGTCACAAAAACAGTGCCAAATATTACCGCTGTTTGGACTGGCATCATTGCCTGCTGTTCAGTGGAGGCTTAGCACTGTGACTTGAGCTGCAAAGGGAGAATTCTCAGAGGGTGCAATCTTAAACAAGAAAACTTTTTGAGTACTCTCCCGTCTTTTCAGTTATTTGATGTCTGGAACTGCAATTCAATTTCGATTATTTAGATTTAAGATGGTGCAAAGGAGTTTCCCCATTATGAACAGAATCATCCTGGGGCAGCTATTTTAACAGCTCTTTACATGAAATCTCTTAACTTCGTTGTTAATCCTTTCCCTTCCCTGCATACTTTAACAAGTTGCTGGTTCAAAAAAAAAAAAATCTATAATTTTTCTCATACTGTAACAGGTAGCAAATGATAAGGTTGATGGTTTTTTTTTTTTTAATTTGGAAAAATATATCTAGCAGGTATTCCATGTTGCAGAGGAGATTCTAAGACATTTGACCTTTAAAACTTCATACTGTTTTTACAGTGTGATATTTTTGCCTTTTTTGCTGTTCTTTTTTCACTTTCAATTTGAACTGTGAATTTAAAACTACAAATATCCATGTTTAATTTTAAACATAGTTTTATCCATGCTTTAGTCTAAGTTACTTAGGACAGAATAAATTGCTAACATGTTAGGCTGCCTAATCAATAAGCAAATTAAAGCTGCTGTGGATATATTTGCTGCTCTGAGCACTGCTAGAAGATTCCTCTTTCTATTCAGCCAATTTTTTTTAAATTTAAATAATAAAAATACAATATTTTAAATTTCACACTCTCCACTCTTACAACTGCTCTTTCAAAATCTTCTCTGTCAGTAGGGAATCTGTGATTAAAATAGACTAGAAATCAGGATCACAGTGTGTCAGATTTCTTATTAGCTTGTATTGTAAGTAGTGTGTTGGTAGTCCTCTATCATTTAACTTAACAATATGTAATTTCTGAAACCAAATTCTCTGTTGGAAGTTATTTAAGGTTGCTTAAGGGAAAAACCCTCCTACACGAAATCCATCAAACCAAGGAAGTGACACATTCAGGGAATCATTTCACCATGTCATTACACCTACTCATTACAGTCACCCCGCTGACAGATTCCAGATTCCGCAAATAACTTCTTTCCACCTCCTCCACGTTTCAGAAACAAAGGCAAGAATCCTCCAGACTCTACACAGTTCACTTACACTTCCTCACCCCATCTTCATTCTGCCTTCCACCTACCTTCGGCAAGCTCTGTTGTGGGTCTAACCTGGGGTGGGCCTAGCCTGCGGAGCAGAGAGTGCGTCTGAGTTGTTGCTGTAGAGCCTGGTGTTCATGCGGAACAGTGTTAGAGGCATAGCTGAACATCACTGCACACGACTAAGTACTCCTGTGAAATTCCTTGTGATTCCTTTAAGCTTTGCAGCATTTAGACTTTATTTTGACTGAAAATTTCTGTAACAAACACATCATCCATGTTGTGTGTTTTGAGGGCAGATACACTTCAGGCAGTTCTGAGAACAGGTTTCAGCAGAACCGGATTTTTTTTTTTGTTGATTAATTAATTCTGACAGTGGTTTCCCTGAGAAATGTTTGCAGGTCTGCATCATAGCAGCTGAAGAGAACTGTTGGTGGTTTTATGAGAACATGTTCTCAGCTGGACAGCCATGAATCTATGAAAAATTGTGATTTGCCCACATCCAGCAAGTTGTTTGGAGCTGGGATATTCAATTCTCTGAAGGTTGAAGCATTGTCCAGTTAAATTACAAGTGTTAAAGGCTAGTTCTCTTCTGTGAGCTTTTTCCAAAACTAGGAGTAAATTGCCTCCCTTCTGCCTGTGCTGGAGTAGCAGCCCTTAATTGCAGAAGACACAACCGCTGGGCTTGGGCAGGGAAGGGACAGGAGCTTAGGAAGCTGGGTTTAGAGGTGACACTGATTTCATTAGTCCTGTGCACTGCATGACGTACTTGGTAGGAAAGATTATCATTATTTTGTGTAATTAAAGACTATCTTGTAGAATGATACTCGAGTATGAGAGCAGACTGGAATGAGGCCGCCCACACAGTTTTAATTCCAGCATCTTCTGATCATCAGTCACTTGACAGCAACTTGTCTTTGAATGTCGTTTTGGTATGCATATGTCTAGATTGCATATACTGCATGTGTAAGATGCAGGATAAGTAGTTCTTGGTAGGTGCTCAGAGAGATCCGTGAGTTTTTCCAGACCTCTCTCTTGTTTTATCATGGGTAAATTAGGACCTGTCCTGTGCAACAACTCCCTCTATCACTCTAAACATTGTCAACTGCAGTGATGTGTGTGTTGCTTGTGCCTTCTTTCAGATATAATTAACTCCCTACTCCCTGTAAACATCTTTGATTACCATTCACACAGTGGAATTTATAGACCACATAATACTAACGCTGCATAACTCTAGGACACTGGACAATACCAAATTCTTCATTGAGAAGCCAGTTACAATTTTGGTGTTGTTGCAATGCACTACAAAGTCTCTTTTGAGACTGACTATAGGAACAAGGTCAGGACGCTTCAGTACGGTGAAGGGGTGATGTAAGCAAAGTTATTCTTGCCTGTCTAAGCCAGAAATCTGCTCTGCTCTGTCGACCTATCAAAGATTCGCAGTGTAACAGAAAATTCAGACTCAGTTGCATGTACTGTGTTCTAGTTTATTTCTCAGAGATGCCCTTTCGCTGGTACAAATCTGTGTGAACTTTTACCATCCTGGGTCTCCGACAGACAAAGTATGCAACTCCGTACAGAATCACTAAGGTCGGAAAAGACCTATAAGATCATCCAGTCCAACCACCAACCCAACACTACCGTACCCACTAGACCATGTCCTCAAGCGCCACATCTACATGTTCCTTGAACACCTCCGGGGATGGTGACCCCACCACTTCCCTGGGCAGCCTGTTCCAGTGCCTGACCGCTCTTTCAGTGAAGAAGTTTTTCCTAATACCTAATCTAAACCTCCCCCGATGCAACTTGAGGCCATTTCCTCTTGTCCTGTCACCAGTTACCCGGGAGAACAGGCAAGCACCCCCCTCCCTACAACCTCCTTTCAGGGAGCTGTAGAGAGCGATGTATTTAAATGTATTAAATGTATTAGTTTAACATGAGCACAGTCAGAATAACCGGATTAGCTATTGTTCAGTGTTTTGTTATGGCTTTGACCGTATTTCCTTTTACCTTCTCTTTTGAAGACATTGATGAATGCCTGACTCCAGCTACTTGTCCAGATGCACAGTGCGTTAACGCTCCTGGCTCTTACCAGTGCATTCCTTGCAGAGTAGGATTCAGAGGCTGGAATGGACAGTGCCATGGTATGTTCAGTACTCTTTGTATCTCTGGTCATAGTTCGTGTTCTGAGATGCTGTATTTCATATGTCATCAGCGTTACAACTTGACGACAGCCCTGGGCCCCCATTTCTTTCCATAATAATTGAAAATATGAGATTTCTGAAATGACATTATGTTCTCAGATACAGTATGTGTAAGGAAGTCATGTTTTACTGTAGATAAAGGAACGTTGAATCTAGACTACAAACAGTACAACTATAGTTCCAAAACAAAATTCTTGAAATAGAAAATATGGAACCGAAAGGGATGCATAAGCAGTGGAATGCTAGCAGATGGTTGTTTGAGGGTATTACCAGATGTAAAACCATGAGAGTGCTGACACATCAGTGTGACTGGCAGGCTTTTCAGTAGGATATGGGAGTTCGCTCACAAAGCATATTAATAGAACTTCTTAATGAGCTGCTCTTCCAGCAAAATATTCAGCACATCTTAGAATAGTTTACCTCACTTTAGGTTAGGTTTTTAGGACAGTTTACTCATGTTATAGTTTTGTTGATTTTTTTTTTTTAAGTGTTTTTTTCCTCCAAACCAGTTTTGGCTATTTGAGATAGAGATAAGAAAGAGCACGTGAATCCATTGTGCAAACAGAAATAATCTTTGGCAGTTTTGAGTGCTGCATCTGGGGCGCTACCAGAAACTTAGGTTTGGCCTCTGTTGTGAAGGATCTGCTGTCCGTTGTGAATCCTTCTGTCCCCTCTGTGTAACACATGCTCTGTAACTTGTGACGGTCGAAGTAACGACGTGACATAAACAGAGGTGTATGATAACCTACTTGGGAGGTGTTTGCGTTACTGCCGTAGGACAGATTGGCAGCCTGCTTCCATAGCTTATTTCCTAATGGCTCCCAATTGCTGTGATTTGGTTCCGTCCCAAGAGCCTTGTTTTGGTTGAAATAGCACGGGAAGGTGGGCGTCTGCTGCGATCCAGCCACAAAGGGGCTTTTGATGTGTACCAGGACTAGAGCCAGGCTGCAGTGAAGCACCTGAAAACATTTGGTGTCGCTGTCAGAGCCTCCCCACCGGCTCTGCTGTACAAGGATACCTTTTTTCAACCACCCTATTTTCTAATGAAGGCATATTGGAGCAAATTAGTTCTGCCTGAACATCTGCCTGTTATATTTTATCAGCATGTCTCATAGCCACATTATTTGGTTTTGTCATTTGACTTATTGTGGAGGAATGTATTTCTTGCGTAATTTCATGGGGTTTAGCAGAGTTAACAGCAAGCTGTGGAACGTTTACAGCTAACTCAGGGGGTTCACTTAGCACACGTTCATCTGTATTTTGCCTCTTCCCACCTGCTTGGATTCCTGCTACCCTTGCAAAGAATGCGGCACGTGCACTCTGTCAAGAAAGGCTTCCTCTTATTTCATTCCTTATTTGGAAAATGAAGTTGACTTAATCTTGCATTCTTTCACAGTAGCAAGCTTCATTTCTATACTATGCATGAAAATAACCTGGTTGAAATTGCCATGGCGTAGCTTTTACTTCTTGCATTCTTGCTAACCAGGTTAGCAGGAATAGCATGAGAGAAAAGAAGTCACTGCTCTGCTCAGATTTACAAACACAGCTAAGTCATGCAAGGGATGAGTCTTGGTTCCAAGTTGCTGATACCTTTTTTCCTTGTATTACGGCATATAGTTTCCCTTTTTCCTTTGTTTTATGAAATGTTCTAAGCCTAGACATCTCGCTCACATCATTAGTGATGTGGTCATTCTTCATTTTCTGTTTATCCTAGACTTAGATCATGCTGGAAATGAGCCATTTTAGAAAACGTAATGCAGGCAGTTTGTCTTAAATCTGTAGCTTTGCAATATGGTACAATTTAAATACACTGGAAAGGAAAATATTTCCCAAGTTAAGTATGAAGGGTATTTAAGTCCATTGTTCCATGAATTAATTTGTTTCTGGTGTTAGTTTAGGCCAGTTGTGGCTCTGCTAGTTTTCCCCAGTGCTGTTTTCAGTATTTTTTTTACCTTGGCTCATTCCTCTGCCTGTACTTGATGCCCTACAAAGTCCAGTGTAATGACTGTACGGTCCTTTGCTGCTATAGATACTGTAGTCTTCCACGGTTTAAAGCCAGGCACATAGCTACTTTTGCTTAAAAAAGGCAAGTCAATCAGTTTACTTCAGATTTACATGGAACAGATCTAACTGCAGTTTGGGTGGGAATATCCAGTGTGAGATGCATACTGGAAGAAATTAAAAATGGCAGATTAGGTTGACAGAGCTTTCTTAGACTGCTTCATCCTCACAGTTATCGCTGTGGTGGATTTTGCAGCTATGTTGTAACTAACCACATTCAGCTTGTAGGGCATTAGGTACCCCTCAGAAGATCAGAGGTCAGCAGAGCTGCTCCGTACGCCTCTAGCCCCACTGTAGGGAGCTTCAGTGTCATCAGATACAGCTCTGGACTTCATCTCAGAAAATGTAGGTTCTGTTCCTGGCTTTTCTGCTGGTTTTATGGGAAGTTCTCTTGATCTTCGAGTCCAATCCAAATATCAGAAATAATATCGCAGGCTTCGTTTTCAAGTAGCTTGGAGATAAGTGGGTGAAAATTAATCTGTAAGAAGTAGATTTGTTACTCAGTTGGAAAGTCATGTGCCTGACTGCTGAATTAGGTTTTCTCTGTGTTTTAATAAATCCTTGAATTTGAACATTGATCATACTCATGGAGAGCAAAGGTGTTTTGTTAAGCGAGCACATTTTGCCGCAGTAGGGTTCTGAGAAATCGGTCTTGCAGAAGGGTGTAAGTAGTATCTCCTACAGAACTGCCTCGGCAGAGCACCTGTGGAGCTGGGCTGTCATCTCCTGGGAGGCTGCCGCTGCGTGTCCTTGCCCAGGCTGCAGCAGGGCATCTTACTTACAGAGTTAAGAGGCTCAAGTGAGGAAAGAAGAGTTGTAGGTCCTTTGAAATATGGATAGTAACGGTTATTTGGTTTGTGTCTGGGGAGAGTTGGGCTTTGTCAAAGTCAGATTGTACAGGAGCTTGTAAGGAGCCAAGAATGATAAATATATGTGAGGAAAACAATTACTGCAGATCTTCACAATACGTAACAAGAGCTATGATGGTGTTTTAAAGACCTCTAATCTCTTTCCAGCTCTCCTGGTGCTTACAGCTGCCTAAATAGTGCAAGTGCGTCAAGTAATCAGTAGTTTTACTCTTTTATGTTGACAGATTCTGTGTGCTTTGTGATGGCAAAAGGCAGGATAATTGGGAGTAATATGATTTCGGCCACATAAAAGCAAATAAGGTGTAATTCTTATTCTGCATCAGTGAAGCTAAAAAATACAGCTTTTTCCATTCAAACAGGGACACCTGCCTACTGTTAATTACATCCCCAAAATAAACACAATTTGATAATTAACCTTTTATTTTTTAAATGAAAACCACTCCTAGGAAAAAGACAATGTTGATTATTTCAGAATACTGAAATAATTCTGGTGGGGTTTATAGTGAAAAATGTTATTTATTTATATGTTTGCTTTTTTGTTTGTTTATTTATACAAATTGCATTCTTGAAAATTATTCTTAAGTAGTAATATAGCCCATTTTCATGTTGGCTAAAGAGGGTGGCTACACTTAAGAGGTTAATACACCTCTTCAGAGAATGATAGTGTCTTTAGTTGTGCACAGGAAGACTCTTCTAAATCCTGTACATAGAATTGCAGACTGGTTTGGGTTGGAAGGGACCTTAAAGATCATCTAGTTCCAACTCCCCTGCCATGGGCAGGGACACCTTCCACTAGACCAGGTTGCTCCAAGCCTCATCCAGCCTGGCCTTGAACACTTCCAGGGATGGGGCATCCACAGCTTCTCTGGGCAACCTGTTCCAGTGCCTCACCACCCTCTCCGGGAAGAACTTCTTCCTGATATCCAATCTAAACTTCCCCGCTCTAATTTAAATCCATTCCCCCTTGTCCTGTCACTACAGGCCCTTGTAAAAAGTCCCCCCCAGCTTCCTTGTAGCCCCTTCAGGTACTGGAAGGCTGCAATAAGGTCTCCCTGGAGCCTTCTCTTCTCCAGGCTGAACATTAATCAACTGAGCTTTAAAAAGCAGGAAGAACTCAACAGCAGAAAATGTGGTTGAGGTCTGTTCTAGGTTCTGAGAGGACCTGCCTGTTCTGTCACTTCCACAGGTAAGCTCCAGGTAAACAAGCAGAGGCAGCAGGTTGGGGGATTCTGACCAGAGCACATTTTAAACGTAATTTCAGAGAGAACAACTTCTAACACAGCCTTGCCAGTGTGAGCTGTGTCTGCTTTTCTGGACTGTTCCTTGCAATAGCAGAAGGATTAGTGATAATGGTTACAGGGTATTGGCAGCTGCTCGTGCTTTTATCACAGGTACATATCTGAAGAGTAAATCTGTGTAATGCAGGAATGAAAGTGCCAGCACTTGCTGACATCTTCTCTATACTAAACCCCTAGTTTAAGCTACTGTTGGAAAATGATGGGCAAAATAGTGTCATTCATGTTGTGAACACGGCAAGCTCATAGTGCAAGCCCTGTTTGAAAAAAGAAAAGAAAAGGAAGGAAAAGGTTGTTAGCCTAAACTGCAGTCCTTGCAGTACTGCCATGGAAGTATGGCTGTAGTGATGTGGGCTCTGAGTATTGTTGAGTGTTTGAGTACAGGCCAGCTCAAGTTAAAATCCTGGTTTTGTTTTTGTTTTTTTTTTTTTTTAAAGTCAGAATTGCTGTACAATTGTCAAGGTCAAAATATACAGAAAAACTGACTGCAACCATGTTTGTGGCTGAATTACAATAAATGCCCAAGCCCGACTGAAAGGTGATTGCACCCGAGTTAATTATACCCTTAAAATTTCTTTGTATTTGCAGATATAGATGAATGCCAGTACGGCAATCTCTGCACACATGGACGTTGTGAAAACATGGAGGGGTCTTTCAGATGTGTCTGTGGCCAAGGTTTCAAACTCTCTGCATCAGCAGATCAGTGCGAAGGTAGGAAAGAATGTGATTAAAATTCATAAGGTTGTGCTTCCCTTTTAGACAATATTTTTTCTCTAATAGTATTCCTTTTAATGGAGAAACAACAAATGTACAACACTGAGGCTAAACAACCAAAAATGCAATAATATGTATTTGCTTTTTATGGCTTCCATGGTCATGTTGTAGATTTTGACATCTGTTATAAAGCCAATCAAGAACGTGCAGTAATAGTTATATGGCTAAATTGGAATTTCTGCATAATCCTTGGCATTTCTGTCATTTTGGAGGTTTGTGGATAGTGGCTGTCACTGCCTTAATTTCTTTTCTTTCTGTCTTTTTTTTTTTTTTTTTTCCCCATGTGGGTGAGTGGAATCAAAACTCCCAGGCTGTACCTTCTTGGGGCCCAGCAGTGTCAGTTACCACTGAGCTGATGCCTGCATTGCTGACACTGCATTTCAAGTTTAGTAGAGAGGGGGTTTTCTAAGAGCAATACCTGTACCTCCAATGTGTCAGGTTCTACATTCCTTCCACCTCTAAAATTCCCACCAGGACTGCGTCAGTGGAACAGAATTAGGTCTGAAATCAGAGCAGAGTTGCCTGAGAGAGAACCTAGAGTGTGGACAGGACACACTCCTTAGGGAGAGGGGACTTCTTGAAACCACTCCCCAAAGGTGAAAATCTGGGAGAATGTCTCCAGCTGTGGAAGCACACAGAAATCTGAATGTTTCTTGTCAGACATTGTTTTTCCTTCTTTTCGCTTCCACCCACCCTTCCCAGAGTGTCTGTATATAGCACCAAATACTTTCAGACTTCTGAGTGCTAAAAATAATACAGTAAAATTAAACGTTCGTTCATGTAAATCTGTCAGGAAGTTTGAGACAAAACATCAGTGTACGTGAAGTGTCCAGAGCGAGTTAAAAGTGCTGCCCAGGACGCACAGCAGACTGGTCTTGGGGAAAATATGTAGACAAAGTTTGACTGCTTCCTTTGAGCCTTTCACGGAAAACGGCCCTTGCCAAGCTGAGCTGGCATGTGCAGACTGTTCTTCTTAAAGCACACCCTGCTAAAGTGAGGGCCTGTACATGCGCCCAGATGCTTCCTGCAGCCCCACAGGTTTCGATGATCCTTAAATTCAAAATCTGTGGTTGCAAGGGACCGTTACTCCAGGGGTCAGGCTGCGTAGCCATAACACAGACCTGAAAACCCTCATTGAGTAACTTTCTCCTGCTGGAACTGGAGTATATTTTGAGAAAGACATTTAGACGTGCCTAAATCCTAGAAGTGACTAAGAACCTACCGTGTCATTTAATTACTGTTCCTTAACGAGTGTTTTATAAATAGGAGAGGGAAAACATGTTTCCTAGCTCAGACAAGACATGTGCTATGTTCTGAAGTCGAAGTGCCACTCCCCTCCAGTGTTTTGAGTTTTTCGTAGGAAAATGGGTTTGATGTTCACGTCATCTGTTAACCCAGGCTGACCCCAGTTTATGAGAACCGAAGCGCTGAGGGATTAGCCGTAGTAATGGAAGCAGAGAGACATTTCCCCATACTTAGAGGATTAATACTGTTACAAGGCGAGTATTTAACGGAGCCTTAAGGTACAGTTTAACAGGGGAACAGCCTCTCAGTGTGCATCTGGAAACCACACCCTGTTCAAAGGTGGTGATCCTGCTGGAAAGTATTTTGTGGGCTTTGCTGACTCACTGCAGTGGCTGGCTTGTTACCTTTGCCAGATAGAAAAGAAACAAAAGCAGCTCTCAGGCAACCTGCGTGAGTATTTGTGTGTCTGCATGTACCCATTTGTGCACCGAGGGATGTATTGACGCTGCAGGAGAGAATGCTGAATGCAGGCATCTCAAGGAAAACATCCAATCTGCAATTTCATCTGGTTTTATGCATTATATTGACTGTCTGTGTTTGTTAATAAATAAGCCCCAGAGAAGCAGTGCTGGGTATTGACACTCCACTTTGCTGTTGTGCTCAGAGCTGGTTATTGCACCATTTGATCAGTAATTGGTATTTTCAGATGTGTTATGTGTTCATCATTTTTTCTGCTACAGATATAGACGAATGCCAGCACCGATCACTCTGTACGAATGGGCGCTGTAGGAACACAGAAGGGTCTTTCCAGTGTATTTGTAGCCAAGGCTACACGTTGTCATCTACTGGAGAGCAGTGTGAAGGTGAGCTTGTGGACTTGAGCTACTGACTTGTTTGTTTCAATCAGACTTTGAGTATTCCAGCTATAGGCATGAACCCTTTTGAGAGTGGGGCAGAAGGACATGTTGCTCTTCTTTCTTTCTCAATACTTGACCATCAACCATTCCACAGGCCCCACCTACACAGCCACATATTTAATGGATTCTTAGAAACAGTGCCTCTTGTCTTTCCACATACAAGAAATCAGCACATGTGTTTCCAGCAGCAAGGCTGGAAGAGCAGCTGACATTGTTAGCAAAAACAATTAGGCTTTTCCAAACCTTGTTTCTCTAATTCTGGCACAGAGGTTCTGTGTTACAAAAGCTTCTGCCAGCATACGCTGTGCGCATGGGCGCCTGCTAAGCTAAAACTCCTCCAGCTGGTTTTGGGAACCTGTAGCCAGCCACCACAATCCCACATGTGCACTGGCAGGAGAAAATATGCAGGGATAAGATGAGCTCCAGGGGGATCTGCTGGAGCTCACAGCTTTCACTGTCTGAGGAGGCAGGCTACATACTGAGCTTCTGAAACAAAAATAAGAGGTGAAAGATGTACAGTAAATGTAGGGAGAAATGATGTGCTACAGAAAACAGGAACATTTTATTATCTCTCCAGTGAAATGATTTAATTATGCAATAATTGGCAAACAGATTTTTTTCTAATTAATTATTTCAAAGCTACTCCCTCTTCTCCTTTGTTGGCCGTACCACCTGATACAGTACGTCTGCTGCGCTGCTCATGGTCACCAGCATGTGAGATGACTTACGAGCAAGTTCCATAAAAGACTGTACCTGAGTTGCTTCCTTATCTCATCCTGGGGGGAGGAGGGCTGAACTCTCTGTTTATGTCTCACCCTACTTGTGGTATTAGCACATAAAAGCTTTCCAGCCTGTGGTGTGAATTCTGTGTTTGCTGACTTACACCATGGAAGGCACAGCTCCTTACTGCTGTTCTGATAGTGTTCTGCTGGTAGGTGATGCTCCACACAGGCACTTCCCACCTTCTCACCCACAGCAATGGGTGGGAATCCTCTTCAAGTGATCCAGGCAGAAGAGCAGTTCCCCCTGAGCCAACCGAATGCTTTCTGCTCAAGACAAACCTGTAATAGCCGACCAGACTTCAGGAGTGATGATACTTGATTGTCCCCACTTCATGAGTGACAGCATCTTTTGGAGTTCTCACCAGAAAGAATAAGGATGTCTTACACAAGGAGATAAGCCTCCTCAGCACACTGACAGTCTGCTGCTGACCTGTCATAGAAGAACTTAACAAGATCTTCTGAGAGTTCCTGGGGAATACCAGCATCACTTGCATTAGTGTCGTAGTTTAACTCTGGCTAGC